GGGGCTCGGGCCTCGCCAGGTGCACTGTGCCGTCAACCAGTCCGGGCTGCAGCGGTTTCTCCTCGACAACCTGCCCCAGCGCAGCAGATGCCAAGCCGCCCGGAGCGCCGGCCTCCGCCAAGACGTCAGGACAGCTCGGACAGTGATGATTGAACGGATGGTTCATGTTGGCAGCAAGCCGGCAGCCGTGCACGCTCACGCACGACTTGATCGCAGCGGCAGCAACGTCCACCTGCTTCGTCTCAACGCAACAGTGACGCCAGTCTGCCAACGGTTGTGCGCAAGAATGAAGGGAACATCGGCTGTCAAGAGCAGGGGCCTCCAGTGAGGCAAAAGCCAAGCCACGGGCATTGAGATTTAAACTGCAGACTGTTGCTCAGCGGCATGGACCTGGTCTCCCCTTACCAGCGAATTCGGAAGCGAGTGGAGTGCTGCTGCACCGCGCTCACGAAGCCCAATCTACAAGCACCTGCTCAAGCTGGACATGCTATGCTGAAATATTCTGCCCAGAGGAGGCGTCAAGAAGCGGCTGCGTAGCCAAGGCGTCCTGGCAGGCAAAGTCTGGGCTGTCTGGGCAACTAGAAGGCAGATCAGCACGGTACATTAACAGCCCTGGCCTGGCTGCAGTCTCACATCTGGCTCTGCATGATGCTGAGGTTGTTTGCATACCTGCTTCAGATTTCATTGCTTAGAGCAAAACCATTGGTGCTACATCCTTGCCATGCATTGCTAGATCGCGAGGCCATCAGTCAATCTATACTGACAGCTACACTTGTTCGGTGTTCAGGTACGCTCAGATGATAGGAGTGGTAGTTGTACAGAAAGATTGTACGCGAATTGAATGCAGCCGCCGCTTGCCCTTGCAAAGCCTCAGTAGAGCTGTAGACATGGACCTCAGCCAGATCTGATACGACAATGTGGCAGAGGTTTTGCTTAAGTCTGTGCCCATCCGGGCCTAGATTCCGCTTTCCATGAGGTCGTTCATTGCTCCAGCATGTTCTGGTCGTAACTGTGTGGGACAAGACTAGACGAGTTGAATTGGCGCGGCAGCATGGCTCCTCCAGGCTCTGAAGCCATGCAGAAATTTGCCTGACATGAAACGGTGGGCTTGCCGTTGTGAAGCCACCCACTTTTTCAGGTGATCGCTGCTGTATTGTGCTTTATGTTGGCAGTGAGAGGAAGAGATGCCAATTCTTGCAACTTGCAGGCAGCGCCCACTGATGCTTGAGCATGGCAGATGCTAGTCCACGGGGCAAGGCCTCTCCTGACAAGCCGCACAGAACCACGTTTGCGAGGCATGCTCACGCCTAGATACCTAGGATGTAAATGCTCTGTATGGAATGGAAGATAGCCTCTGCGGCAAGAAGCATGAAAGGCTGGGGAGTTTGTTGATTTGCGAAGTTCTTCCAGGAGCCATCTTCTCGAGGACAAGGTGGGCTGGAAACCCTGCGAGGAGAGCGGAGTCTAGTCCAGTAGAAAACCCTGCAGTAGTTTCCATTTTCCTTTTCCACGAAATCTATACCAAAAAACTCCAATACAACACCTTTGTAAAGCCTAGATGTAGTAAAAAATCCCTCTTCTGTCGGAGGCCAGGTTCCCGAGCGCTATGCCCAGCTTCAGGCTGCCATGGACCAGGTGCGGAGCAGGATTAATACTATTTCTATAATGACTATAATCAATGTTATGGGTTCTTTTAAGGTGAAGGGGTGTTTTCAACCTTCGAGTTCTGTGCTCAGGCAAGATCTGTCTCTGCGGATGGACGAGGACCCTGCGCTGAATTGCCTGCAGCTTGCCGGGCAATATCTTGGAATCTCTGGTGTGAATTTATTTCCAGGTTAGGTGCATTGCTGGCAGACTGGGCTCAGTGAGAGAACTGTGTAGCGAGCAACCTGCAATCACATTGACAATCTTTGTGATGCACGGAATACCATGGAGGATGCGCTGCTCTCCCTCAAGGCTAATCCTGGCTCTCGCGGCTGTCGGGTCTGTTGCAGAAGGCTCCGGCTTCAGGGTGTTCAGTGAGCTGCCGCTACAGAGCTGCGACGGCAGCTCTGCTACTTTGCCATGGCGCTGGGCAGAGGTTCCTGAAAACTCAACTTTGGATGGGCTCTGTACGACGGCCATCCTGCACGCCACGCAGGATGATCTTAACGGACAGCTGCCGCAGGGAAGTTACGACGCGTTTTGCCGCCTCCGTTGCCCCAACAGCCAAAGGCACGCCAATTTGAACATCTCGTGCTATCTGACACGGCCGGCCTGTGAGCAGGAGCGGACTCCGGTCATTGGCCCGTTTGTCATTGAACCTGCAAAGCAGAGGTGTTGTGCGGTGCTGGCAACTTCCGCAGATGTTGTGCACACAGGTGACTCTGGGATTTTGGTATCCTGCCCTTTATTGCCAAGACCGGCTGCTCCGGCACTCTGCGAAGGCACGGGTGCTGGCAGCAGGATGCTACCATGAGTGCTATGCGGCTGAAGAGATTGGCTCGCCTGTTGGCATGGTTGCACAAGTCAACATAGCAACACGAATAATTCAAGATGCAATTCTTTCAAGGCCTGGCCTGATATGAGAAATAGTTGGCCCAGCATCTGGGCTTTCAAGCGCATGGGATCTTTCATCCCTGCTGGGTTCTCGTTTTCAGGCTCAAGGGCTTTCCACCTTGGAGGCATGTATGGTCCGCCACGGAAACAATCAGAAGATTCAAAAGCTGCCAATCGCAGCAAAGTTAGTTTGTTTGCCTTTACATGTTGGCGTGGAGCATTCCAATATCGACCTTCCGCTTGGGCTAGCATGCCCATGCAAAAAACAGGCAAGGATTAAGCATGGCTAACCGTCCAACTCTGCAACATTTCGCCAGGGCACCACAGAACCTTGGAAAAACAGTCCGCAAAAACCTGATCGATTCTGAGGCTGTGACTAGACCCCCTTCTTTGTAGGTCCCGCCCTGTTAAGATTCAAGGCGGCGACTTGCTTATCCCTAATCGTACTGCTTGTAGGATTTCCTTTCTGGGTAGGAGGGGATTATTGTGTACGGCTGTATTGCTGCTGCTGCTGCTGCTGCTGAAGATGAGCTCAGCCTCTGACCGGAGGCTTGGGCACAGCACGTGTTGAAATGTCTATATTCAGAATTATAATTGCGATAACTATCGAGGCAGCAACAAAACGGCAAGGGCTAAGTATGCATAGACCTCCCAGTCCTTTGTCCTGTTAGCCGTTGCAGAACGCCTCTAAACTTCATTGGGGTGGTGTGGGTTTAGCATCAAGTATGGAAGGTTGCCATATCACCAACACGTTTGGCAGGACAGCTGACGGCCGCGCAGGACCCGAGCCCTGCTCAAAAGTGCATTCCCAGAGTTGGGAATACTTTTTTTGGCAGTCTTTGCGAGCTGAACATAAACGATACCTCAGCTGAACTCTCGTGCAGCGACGATGTTACGCAGACAAGCTTGCACAGATTGCATGATTCGATATAGAGGAGCAATTGACCCCAGCAGAACAAGGCCTGCCGGAATCAAGGAAGTGTTGGGCTTGCTTTATCACGGGTGGGTTGGACATATTGGCGGCATGATGTGAAGTGTAGAAGTCACACACCAGCCCCTCATGCTCACGTATGTCAATCGCATTGCTTTCTATGGTTCTTTCTCTGGTTCAAAGACTTGGGGAGTGCAGGAGATTTCCATGTGACCACTGGTGATAAAGCTAACAAGTAACAGGCCCTTGACAAGGTTTTGGAAGCAAACCCACGTATGTTGAAAGAGTAGCTCTGTGTGAACCTAAGTCGCCAACCGCCAGATTAGGCTGGGCGATCCTGGCGCATGGTGCATTGCAACGTCACCGCCAAGGACGTGCACGGGCCGATCTCCCAGTGCTTCCCGGGATGTATGTGAGCTTCTGTGCCATCTAAATCAACATAAAATCGATCTGCCTTCATTCGAGACATTGAAGCCCCACTACAGTGATCACAACCACGACTCGAGCTGTCTGTTAGCTGGGCCCAAATTCCATACTCGTCCTAGTGTGACAATTCTCTACACCACTAGTTCGCGCAGGGCTCATCTCTCAGACGATAATATTTTCAAGCAACACGCTGTAAACAACAACGTCATACATCATGAAAAATGGGATATTGGAGACCAATTGCCTGCCTTGCCAGGATTTCCTTTCCGAACATATTGTTCTCTAATATTAATTATTGTTATTACCGTTATGAGTATTCTTACTACTAGTAGCAGTCAGTCATACTACCATGACCATTACCATCATACTACTGGCATCAGGCAGCAGCCGTTTTTTCCGAGGCAATGCTCCGAGGGATGTTCTCTGCATGAGCCTCGAAACAGAGCTTGCGCCGGGGGTCAGCTAGACTTGAAAGCTTCGCAGATAGGCGTTTCTCAACTCTAGGGGTTTTACTGGTAGAGTGCTCTCATTTGAGGGGCATGTAGGAGCTCCCTCCCCACAGAACTCAGCATACGGCATACCGCAGTGATACATCCTTGGTTTGAGCACAGCGAAATGCTGGTTCTTGTGGAACTTGCGTAAGCATGCTGCCGTCAACCTCAAAGATACGCGCGAACCTTTTTTCTGTTTCAAATACTTGCGATGACTTTGAGTGAATGCTAGCCATGCTGATCCTTTTACAGACCACGACTTGGCTTGTCATCCAGGATGGAAAGAAAGCTCATCGTAAGGAGCGCAAAGAAGCTGCAGAGCTCGAGGCCTGACAGCTAAATCTGCGGTAACAATGTAGAGTTTTAGAGTACAGATCAGTTGAAAGTTTAGAAGTTTAGATTAAACAGGTTTAGACTTTAAGGTTCAGGGGTTGACAAAACCATCAGCCTATTGTCGGCACGGCATGCTCATGTCTATTGATTCTCCGTGTTTGCACGGCGACTTGTTTAGCATCAGTTGCTGCTCTTGCCCGCCTGTGTGGGTTTGGTGTAGGATCCTGTGGTTGTGAGAAGTCGTTTATGGCAGGGAGAGCTGTGGTTATTAATCCCACGCGGCTTCAAGCAACCTGGATGCCTATGAAAGTGAAAGGGTTGATATAGAGCATGAATGGCGGTTTTCCAGGTCCTGATATGGAGCTCATGCTGGTTTCTCCCACTTCTGGGAGCATTAAGCCCAGCAAACTCCCACATGCCTGGGTGCATAAACCCTAAGCTCTAACCCTTCGACCCGAAGCCCTGCACCCTCAAGCCCGAACCCTCAAGCCTCAACCCTATAGGCTACAAACACCAACCTTGGGCATGAAGTCCTCCGCTGTCCAGGAAGCGCGCCAAAAGCAGCTGGAAGTGGTGCGCTTGAGTCAGAACAGACTGCGAAGCACAGCCGTGGCTTCTGTTGTCAGAGGAAAGCCCGTACTGTTGAATATAGATCAAGATATTCCACTAGTTGAAGGATCTTGTTTCAGTAAAGGAATTCGTAATGCGGACACATCCACATGTTGAAGTTTCCCGTTTTGTGGGGAGTCTTATGGAGCCATTCCCTCCTCCCTTTATTTGGGGTCCTAAGTTTCCGTTGCAGCTGAATGGATGCAGAGCGTATCCTGCAGGTCTACAGCTGGTGGAGCTTGCTTGCGGCTGGCCTACTGAAGCCGGGGTCCTTGATGTTCCCTTCTGGAATGCTGTTGCTGCATGTGCTCAATGTACTGCCTTAGCTGTTTCCAATACAAGCCGTGAATTCAGCGTCACATACACTCTCAATGTACATGTCAGGCCGCAGCTAGTTACTTGTGTATGTCACTGCCAGCCCCTGTCTGATGCAAATCTTGTTTACTTGTCCCGCTTGATCACATGAAGCTTGCACTTCCAAGTCCGACCCACTCTGCTACTAGCACCTCCCTCATCCCAATGAGCCCTGTGCCGCCATATCCGACATGTGCTGCCACCTCCAATGCGGCGGGGGCGGTACGGCAACGCTCGCGGAGGCAGATAGGAGTCAACCAGACAAGAGGAAGCACCGCACATAGGAGACCATGAAAAGCAACGTCCCTGCCCCCCACCATACACATTGACTCCTTTTCATATCTGAGCCTGAACCTACACTTGCTGACTTTTCTCGTGACAGAACAGCGCATTTCAGAACCAACCCAATTTGTAAGCAGAACCGCTGCTGGGAGCCTCCAAGCCTATTTATGGTTGATTCCCGAATGATCTGCGTGCAGCGCCCCAGTCAACAACACCGAGAGCCAAGTGTTTGAACAGCCATTAACTTGCGCGCAGAAACTTAGAATGCAAATCGCAATAGCCCTGACTCACGATCGTATACGGTTCGTTTGTTCTAGTCTGAGCCCGGACCAGAAGCTAAGACCTCGGGGACAGCAACAGGAACAGAGGATAATCTCCTTGGAGTGTAAATCCACTCAACTGTGATTCCCTGGCCAGGCGAGGCCATTTTACCCTGGCAGTGGTCTGTAGCTTCGGTTTAGTGTCCCGGACCTGATAGCCAGGGGGAAGGGACTGTCAGAGTTGAGCCTTACAATGGTTTGGAAAGGGAGTTGTATAGGGGGTTCTATAGGGGAGTATTATAGAGCTTAGCAAGGGTATACTCATACTCAGAGTGGAGACTATGGCTCACATGGAAGAGTGCAGTGGAACTGTCCACGGCTACCATGAGAGGCTAGACGGCATTTGGGCATTACCTTCCTGCTTCTATGCTCAGCAATGCTACAACTCCATTAGGGGTTTTAGTATTTAGGGTTTATAGGGTTCTGAGCTCCTTCTTAATCACCTCCCCGTTCTCTTTCAGCAGCCCCACTCCACCCCCTAATAGAAACCATGTTCCCAAATGTGTAACATTTTTTGGTATAGAGTGTTCAGTATTAGGGCGTAGGGCAGGCTCTTGATATTGGAATGCAGGAATGGATCACTGCAATCATCCTCATTTATTCCCTTAATGAACGCCTCAAGGCACCTCGAATTACCATCCTCTCACTCACCACCAGCAAGGGTCAAGTAGAGCAAGTGCTTAGCAGCTACTCTGTTACAAGGAGCATCCCAGGTGAGATCAAACTGTCCTTGTTTGCCAGCATCAGGCAGATGGGCCTCTAAAGAGCTGGGCATCAAAGTTAGGCTCCCCCCCATCTGCGTCCCATCCTTACTTCCAGGACCCCACCAAAAAGGACTCTGACATGTTTGGGCTACAGTATCCCCCCCTGGCTCGGCCCCTTTTGCCAATGTTTCTCAAGGTAAAGGCCTGTACAGCCTTCATCGGCGCGAGGCAAGGAGCTGGCATGACATCTCTTGAAGAGAACCCTAGGTCCTAAGTTTCTAGAGATTAGGGGAGGGACCCCTAGCGTGTGATCTTTTTTAATGGTCCTATGTTTCAATCTAGGATTCCTGAGGAAGACAATGCGGACCAGAAGTTGGAGCGGATGACGTAGCAGTACCCCAAGGGACCCCAAGCATCTCTCTTGCTACGTTGAGAAGCGCTCATATAGTATCACGTTTTCATTTGTCAGCAAAGTGTTTAGATGATGATAATAAAAGCTGTATCGTATCCACTGGGGTCTTCGAGACATCTGGATTTAAGTAAATGATGGAAGCTCTGTACTGAGCCATCAATGGGCTTTCCAAGTTTGTTTGTTTTTTGGGGTGCTGGTAAGATTTGGTTTAGATCCTTAAGCTGACGGCAGATAGCTTAAATCTGATGACCCAGTGTTGTACAAGGAGGCCCAGCGAACCACGCCTGCAGAGACCAGCTGCCGAGGTTGAGGCAGCCTCTGTGTGTTCAGATTCCTGCATGCTATCTTATACCGTACATTTGTCAAACCATGCAGCAGTTCTGCAAGTCTTCCATTCCAGAGTATACTCGTAGTATGTACGGATTGTGTGCATACATACGTACATGCATGCAAATACATACATACTTATAGAATATGCATGTACATACCTATGTACGTACGCACATGTACTTCATACGTGCACACGTGCGTACATACGCACATACGTACATACCTACCGCCCCGCCTGCTTGCGTACATAAGTACGTACGCGCACATACATACAGCCACTTTGCTACGGATTCATCGTGGAGTAGTGTATAGGCTGTATAGGGGATCTCCGTGGAAACTGTTTGAGCGAAGATCGAGGAACCTTTCGATAAGATATGCAGAGCTGTAACTGCTATTTGAAGTCCTCTCTGGGGGGAATATTTTTGGGAGCTTTATCTTGAAAGGGTTCTATTGCACAGAGGGTAAGTCAGCTATCCCCCCTCTAAGCTGACAGCCAAAGCATGTTCTGAACTTGGATTTCCTAGGATGAGTATTGTAAGTCTGTAAGTGCTACTAACTATGTAGTGCTCCGATTAGGTAGTGTTTATCGCTAATCTGCTGCAGTACATCATTGTTTCCACTGATAGTGTTGCTAGTGACCAGGACTGGCAGGTTTATCGTAATCATGGCTGTTGTCTTCCTGACTGTCGCCTGGGCTCTTGCATCGGGCCGGATTCATCAGTATCCTTCTTCTTTCCTTTTACCCTTTGAGCACAGTACGTCAACGGACTCTAATATTGATCTGTGAGGCTTCCAGTTTATGTTGATCGAAATGTCGCACGCGCGAGGTGGCGACAGAGCCTCCCAAGGGAAACTGGTTTGATGAGACGAAGGCTCGGGATGGCCTGCTGTGCGCAAGTTGGAGTTAGGTTTCCCAACGTCATCTTTTGTTCCGGGAAGTGCAGAAGTTACCGTGAACATGATGGTGGGTATGAAAAAATCAGATGGGCCGAGACCTCCAAGTATTCGGAGGCCTTCTGGGATGACTTAGAGGTCTTCCTGCCCTTGGACCAGGACTCTCTGCTTGGAGTTGGGGTGTGATGAAAGGTCCCTTTGTTTTTGGGTCCTTCTGGTTTGCCCTTTGCATGTTGCGTGTGAGGACTCTGCCCCGGAAGCAAGAGCTCTCCTCAACCAGACGGAGCATCTCGACACGCATGTGTGGATTGGCAGCGCAGATCCATTCATCCATATGAGTTGGACTACTTTCCTCACACAAGCTAGAGGATTAAGAAACACATGCGCGTGGATATGGTATGCTTGAAAGTGTTGTAAAGTACATCAGCCGAGGAAGGTCGAGCGACTGACCGCGGAGCAGGAAACGTGGGAAAAGAGTGTGCCGGTCTGGTAAGTAGCAGAGCAGTTGGGGATTTTATACCCCCCTTTTATGACCCCGTTATAAGCTGTTGTCATAGAAGAAGTTCTTCAGAAGTGTAAGAGCCCTGGAGGAAGCCTTGCTAGCCAAGAAGTCATACCTCCGCGGAAAGTCCGATGAAGCACTGGGCGAAGAGCTCAACAAGCTGCAAAGCCTCTCCTATGAGCACCTGGCCTCAATTGTTTAGATTATTCCTGAAAAGTGTTGGGATGTGTCGACTGAATGAGTCCTGACTTCTTTGTTACGCTGCAATCGCGAAAGGTATTGGAAGATGCGAGTCTACAGGCCCGCAGCATCCCGCAGCCATTGTTCTGCGCACCGTCAAAAGTCGAGCTGGATTCGGGATTGCCGTTCATGATGGAAATGCCCGGAAGCAGAGTTTGCCTTGTCATTTTCTTGTTTTGGTAAGTTATTATCACTGATGTGAGTTAAGACCTTCACCCAGGATGAATGAATTCCAGGATTATTAGCTGATTTCACTGCAAACATCATTGCCATCATCCTTAGCCTATCAGCCTCTTCAGACCTATTCGAACTGCGTGCTTGAATCTTGCCACTGCTCCATCTTCCACTTTGCTAACAAACCACCTTCCTTGAAATCATTCGCTTGCCATACTACCACCACTACTGCATTTGTGATCATGCTGGCGTGTGCCAGGGTCTTCAGCAAGGAGTCAGTGAAGCAAGGATTTGCTCGTGGCTCAGTCATTTCTTTCTACTGGCATTGGGAATTTTAGGCTGTTTTAATTCAGTTCGAGTGAAGTTACTGTAGGGATGTATAGAGTGGGCACCTGCTCAGGCCCCTTGGTCACTAAAGCTCATGACGAGAGCCAAGTGACATTACCTTCTTCTGCCTCAACTGAGGTCAGTTTCCTCACCTACGGAAATGCAATTTTCATATTGATTTTTCTGCGCACCGTGGTGCCGCGACTACTAGTGAGACTCGTTTGACATTGGCTCTGTCTGGTCACGGTACATGCAACACGCTAATTTCAGGAACAGCACTCTGGAACTTGACTCATCTACACACAGTTCTCGGCTGTACTGGCCCCAGGATTTCATCGCTGGATGACTTCTTTGGCTTCGCAAATGAGATCGGCGTGCCCAACAGGCAAACTCTAAACGCAGCTTTGCAAAGTCGTGGCATTCACTGATGATAAGAAAGCTTTCTCTGTGCGGCAATGCTGTGCATCACACCAAGTAGCCAATCTTGGAAGATCATTTGCCTGGATCCGAGGATGTGATTCGAAACATCTCAAACTACGACAGCATTTTCAAGGTGCTGATTTACACGCTGGCCTTTATCGTTGAAAAGTTGACCCTGCCGCGTGCTTAGCCGTTGAGTTCCTGTCGTGGTGGTGCAGATTGTGATAGGAAAATGTTGTGGTGAGAGGATGTTGAAGCGTCCTTGAGCTGATTTCTCCAGCGGAGTCTTTCGGCCAAGGATCTCAGAGATTCTGCCAGTTCAGGTAGCCCTGAAGACGATGTCTCCAGCCGCTGCACTGCGATTCAGGGCGTGTGGCCGTGAAACTTAGGAGTCCGTGGTAGCCACTATCCGCATGTCAAGCAAAAGAGGTGCATGCAAGTAACGCCTGCGTTTGTTGGTTGTTTCGGTCACTTCCAAGGGCTTGGATAAATCAACCAGTGTGATGGTGTGATGCTTCCTCACATGTTCTCGACTCCGACTAGATCCCAAGGTATGGCTCCTAAAGAACACTTCATAACTTTGAGCCCCATAGCAACTAAGGTGGTTTTTGGCGGACTGATTCCTGGCGCGCTGATTTCAGCTACCTGCGAGACGGTTGGCGCCACTGCCGCGTGTCTGCAGACGTCATCGTGCCTATGAACGTGCTATAGATTTGTCCGATACTGTCTAAGGTGAATTTCTTCATTGGCCGAACATTTTTCTTTCAGCGCCCCTTGCCGGAAGCATGGTTTGAGCACACCACCTCGGGGGGTAACTATGCAGGACCAATATTTCGAGAGACTCCTTAAACCCTAGACCCACTTCCCTAAACCCTTAAGCCCCAAGTCTAGAAACCCCAACCTCTAGACCTTCTTAAATCATCTAAAATCTAAACCCTTAACTCCGAAAGGCCTGAGAGAATTTCAGCTACCCGGAGAGCCCAAGCTGGGGGAAGCCCCATGGTTTACCAGGCCTGGTGAGAGCAGAGCAGAGGAAAGTGGGGTTTTGGGGTGTTCCGGGTACTTTTGGGGTACTTTTGGGGTACTTTTGGGGCTTTAGAGTTTGGGGCTGCGTTTTTTTTTTAAGCGGGGTCTGGGGTTTTCAGGCTTCTGTCTTTTTGGGTCAAGGGTTGGTGGGGGGTTTAAGGCTTGGGATATTCCCACGCTTTGCGGAAGGCTGGAGCGCGCTGCGGAGAAAGACGGCTTGAAGATTACGCTTTTGCGACTTGGATGGCACCAGGCAGCAGCGTGAACCCCTAAACTCCCTTGGAACCACAAACCTGTGCAGACCAAAATGCTGTTAAAAGGAGCCTTTACAGGGTTTCAAGCTAGTTTGGGGGAGGGTATCCAAAGCTCAGATAGGTTGCGCCTGTCGCACATCCTGCCCGTGCCATTCGATTCCTACTGGTACATCCTGGGGGCGCTCCCCGTAGGCCAGGATGTGAAAATGCAGCGCGCTGTCGTAAAACAAACAAGTGTGACACGGCACAGGTGTGCCGGAGTTCATCGTGGCGCACTGGGTCGGGTGCTTGAAGACCGCCTTCCTAGATGCGTCCTTGGGACTCTTGCTTCTAACGCCGGGGCCTCATGTGAACTGATTTTCAGGGCAGTCCACTGAGCATAGTTCCTAAATTTCCCCTCCCTATCTACGGGTCTTTGGTGGGTGACTTGCCTTGGTTACCACCTATTTGGGAGAGTGGGTTCAGGTTCAAAAAAGTAGGTCCCGCGCTACATGTTTAGTAGGTCCCACAAGACAATATCGGGGTCGGATACGGCAAAATGAAATCTAAGGCCTTGCGCCTGAAATTCTATTTTCATAAGTTCCTCCTCAAAGATTTTATGACAAGGATCGCGCCCTAGTGGTTACAGGCGCTAGGTTAGCTGAACGCGCGCCCTACCCGTTACAAGCGCTTAGGCTGGGTGATAGGGGTTGCGCCCTCGTTATAGGGCTGCGCCCTAGTGGTTACAGGCGCTTAGGCTAGGTGATAGGGGTTGCGCCCTAATGATTACAGGCGCTTAGGCTAGGTGATAGGGGTTGCGGCTACATGTTGAATAGGTCCCAAAATATAGAGAGGGTGGTCAACCACCCCAATGAGAATGATCCCCCCGACAATAGGCCCCCAGACTTATCTCTGACCCACCCGTCCACCTAGATAGGGGGGGGGGGAATGTTCCAACTATCGAAGGCCTGGGCCGCTCAGTACTTGAGGCTCTGCAAGCCAATCTAGCAGGTCCGCAGCCACTGGACTGCTGCCACCAAGGTCAGTAGTGAACTTAGAGGGGGCAGAGAAACAGAACATCATCGCTGCCGAGTCTGCTACTCGTCAGCAGCGACATTCGCTTGCAGGCACCACGCAAGATCTTCAGTTGACAACGCAATCCCAGATCAGGCTTTCAACATCAGGGGCACCTGTCAGGGGGGGCCCTTTCAAACGATTGATCAATTTTCGAAGGTTCTCAATACTAAGACCTACAAACATGTTTTTGTGAGGTATACCCCTGCATTTGCGAAATTCTGGAACAGAAACCCAGGTGGGCTTCGCCTTGGTTGCCCTGCTGGTGCCTGGCTGCACCGAAGCTCTTTGATGGGCGGATCCGTCTTGAGTTCTTCCCATTGAAGTCTTCAAATATGCGCCCCAAATACTAGTGTAAGGAAGCTAGGTAGGAAAAATACAAGTTGTAACTGGGTAATCTCCTATAACCCCTGATAGTTATCAATATAGACAGACCATCTTGACAGCCGTGCCACAGAAGACACTGCCACAATTGAGGTGCAAACCTTTGCAACGGGCCTGGTGAAGGACATTCTTGGATTGGAGGATTCTTGGAGAAGCGCTGGGGGTATACTTCCTCAAGTTCCTAGGATTTTGATCACCACTTCATTTTGAGGATTTCCTATCATGATGCCGGTCCCTACCTTGTTTTGCCAATTTTTGGAAACAGTAACTTTCCCACCTTTGCAGTTGGGCTTCATAGCTCGTGAGGGCATTTAAAGGGGAGCATAAGGCTGAGTTGCCATGACATCGCCAGCTTAGGATGAGAAAGATGCGAAAAAGACGCCGCCGGTCGCCGCAAAGGAGTCCATCCCAGCCCTTTGGGCAGCAGCAAGAGAGATGGGAATCAGAGTTTCGTTAAATGACATCTCCAGCTTCCAGAAGAGGCTGTAAATGGCTGTAATCTCCTGATGTCCGAATCTATGCCTAGGATCCCCGGAAGCACCCCTAGCCGAACCAATATTTACATAGCGTCGGTCTTCAGCAGAGCTGCTTGAGAGGAAACAATGCAACATGGTAGTCGAGGACTCGACATGGGTTACTAACCTGAATAAATCGAACATCAACAGAACAACAAAGTCAACATCGGTGCCGTAGTACCAGTACATACCAGTTCTCTGGACAAGTAAAGTAGAAATAGATGCAGAAGAAACAGAGGTCCAATGGGCCCAAAGTTGACTTCCGCTACTACGTACATCCACAAACCCTTAAACCCATGAGCCCTAGACTCTAAACACCCCGAAGTCCTAGACCAAAAGCCCAAGAGCCTAAACCGGAGACCTCGCTCTGCCACTGCAACAGTAGCTACCCAGATCCGTTGGAGGATGTGTGGTTTCTGCTTGATTCTCGAACTTAACCAGTGCCTCCTGCAGACGTACATGTCCTCTGGCTTCCAAAAAACCCTAAATTGAATCCTGCTTGTCTTAAACAGCTCAGGACAGCGGCGCTGCAAAGGCCGATGAGCCTTCAGCTTCTATCCGTGAAGCCGGCAAGGGAACTTTCTGAGCCGCCTTTGTGGGCTTAACATACGGAGGGCCAAAAGTGGTTAAGGATTTGCGGGACATAGTGACAAGTCCCCAACCCATAACAAGAAGGTTTACCCCAGTCATGTTAAGCTCTGTATGTGATGGTCCTATATTAGGAAAATACATCCCAAAATTGAAGGACCTATCATTTGGGGAGTAAGGGGTTTGGGACCCTCACGTAAGACTTTCTGAGTAGTTTTCGCAACCACGAGTAACCCCAGAGCGCTACAAAGTAGCTACACTGTTGTACCTTCAGCTCTACCCCTCATAGGTAAGCAAGCTTGTTCATATTGCTCCGAAACTGCAAGGTGAAAGTGGAAGGTGCAAGAGATTTCAGCTAAACCCTAAACCCAAGGCTTCGCGATGAAGGAGTGCAACCTGCGTCGTGCCGTGCGATCTTCAGTTTTTCGTTTCACATCCCGAGATTCGATTTTACTACTTGCCTGAAGCAAAAAGGCAGCCCCTCTTTCGAGTATCTCTGAGTATTCCAGAGCATTCTTGCAAGCTTGCACCGGACAGCATTCGATACACAGAAGGTGTACACGTGCCTTCCCCTCCTGCGTAGTCCACGCTAATCTGCATCTCACCGCCTCACTTCGTTTCAGAGACCCCAACCATGCCTCGATGCGTCTGAGCCCCGACCCGCCCCGACCCGGCATTCATCTGCAATCCTCGAGAGTTAGCGGTAAGTAGCGGAAGAAGTGAGGAGCTTCCAACTTCTTGTCCTTGGCCTCCATATTTACAACTACCCACGAACATCCAAGCAAGCCCCCAACGCCCAGCCTCAAACGCCCAGGAACCATCGCCGAATGGTTGGGAAGGCAACGGCCTCAGCTCTGCAGAGTTTAAGCAAACGGAATGTCAAGTGATTGATTATGACGCCGTTTAAACTTGTTCTGTGGGTCTCTTCGAGGATGACTGAGGAAGGCTGTTTATGCAATTGGTAAGGGAGAGCTCCTTCTAAGTGGGCATTTCCTGATTAGAGTCTTAGAGCCCAGCTCGAAATACCCCTGCAGCTTTGGACGGAAGACTGCTGGAAGAGTGGGATGCGCATCACAATCCTTGTTTGTTCCGTTCACCATTGATCTCTGCCATGCCACCCAGCCCCCAAAACCCAAGGTACATGATGCCTGCACATCCTTATGTGGAATTTCCAGAACCCCAGGAACGTGGTGGCTGCACATCCTTATGTGGAATTTCCAGCACGGGTAGGATCATCGCAAGCTTTGGGAAGAGATTATCGGAATGAAGCATAAACAACAGAACTACCTCTCACGTTTGGATAGCTGATGGCTGAGGTCACTTTGCGCAATGCTCTGCGGAAGGCGCCAAGCTGGGTGGGCTCACGGATGGGAGCCACAGCCTGTAATTAACACCCTTTAAATCCTGAATCCATGAACTTGGCTTGGTCCGGACGTTCCGCTGCGCCGCGGGCATTAATTGGCATTCACGATGCTGGCATCGCAGTCTCTCTGGGATGTCTATTCTTTTTGCCTTGGGCGCTGCAAGAGCAGCATGCGTCCCTCTGGGCACAGCTGCTTTGACAATCCTGCATCGGCCAGTTTCAAGCCCCACCCACATGAGGCGGAACGGCTGAGTGCAATCATTTCCAGTGCTACTGCTGCCACCCGATCTGCTGCAACCTCGAGCAACTTCTTTTCCTTCCACTGCTACCAGTAGGTCGGTTATCATTAAATTCCTTTTCATGACCAGCTTGCCTGTAGCCGCTTGAGAGGCTTCATCTGCAGCCAAGGAGCCACCTGCGGCCGCAGCCGAGGCAGAATTCTTATCCAAACATATGCCTTTTGACGAGGGGAGCCCCAAAACTCCCTACAATCTCCGTGTATTCTCCCAGGAGCCTTCTCGCAGAATCTCCCACTTGAGTCTATATCTTAGTATCTTAGCAGTATACAACTTGAGACTCCTCACAAATTACCACAATACAGTAGTTCTCCAAATTACCATTCACATCCCAGAGGTCAGCATGTATCAGCCTGCCGCAGCTATGTTGGACGCACTATCCCTATATAACCCCAATATATACACTCTATAATCCCCATATAATCCCTATATAATCCCTATAATCCCTATAGTAGCTTCCATTTTCTTTTCCATTCTCCCAATAGAACCCCAATATATCCCTATGGTTTCCATTTTCTTTTCCATTATTCCAATATGTTGGACGAAGGCCATTCCTTCGGTCCCAGGCCGCGAGGGCCCGCCCTGGCGCTCAAGGATACTTTTGATTGGGTTATAGGGGGTATATTGGGGTTATGTTGGGGATAATGGAAAAGAAAATGGAAACTACTACAATGGGTTTAGGGTTTAGGGTTATATTGGGGTTTCTATTGGGATAATGGAAAAGAAAATGGAAACTACTATATTATAATGGGGCATATTCTTACCATTATCTCCAAACCCGAGGGTTTCCTTGGTTGCGATTTCAGGGTCAGAGCAGTAGCCGTCATGAATGTGTAGCAGACCCAAGAAGAGTCTGCACTTGCCTCTGATCTAGGGATGTTGGTTGGTGGGTTTCTTATCCTGTTTTTGGTGACGTTTCATGCAGCGGGAGTTCTGGTGATAGTATGCATCCGCCGTGCTTGCCTTTGGGGATAGTATGATCGGGATCAGGTTATGGTTAGCTTTGATGTAGAGACCGGAATTCACGCCAAGACTCTTTTCTTGCTGCAGATCTCCATCCGAAGGAAGTTTGGCATTTCTCAAAATTAGGACACTTTCATTTCTCCCAACAGTCTGCAGTTATTTGGGATGGGATACCCAGAGTGTTTGATTTTTGACTAAAGCCAGCTTTTTTGGGAGGAGCCCCAAGAATCCGAAGAAGCAGCCGGAGGGCGCACCGCAAGCAAGGCCTGAAAGGGCGTTTCTTCCCCAGCTATCACTATGGAGGTCAAGGGTTTAGAGTAACCTAAACCCCAAACAGTATAAAGGGAATCGGTTGTTAGGAGTGGTTCTGAACTGCTCTTGAGCCGCTCATGGAGTGTTACGAAGTCTTCCGGGAGAGGTCTCATAGTGGTCTTGCACTGTTTGGGGTCCTTTCATAGTATGTAGTATATCTGGACATATTTGGGGTATGTTAGGGAGTTTGGGGACGCGGAGGGATTGTGCAGCGGCTGTAAGGGTACAGCCTGAAGCATCACAGATGGGTCGTTTTGAGAAGCACCCATTCATGGTACCGACTGGTCCACGATCAAAGCTGACAGGTCTTGCGCATTGCGTTTCCCACACATGTGTACATCCTACCTTGGTATGAAGTTGTTCATAGATATGTCATTATTTCTGTACACACACAGGAACAGCTGTTGAAACATTTCTTGCTGAGCGTTGCCGTGCAGACCCCACCCCTCAACATGATGCTCCGTGCTTCGGACATGGTATGCACAGGGAAGCCCACATCAAGACATTGTAAGCGTGACTGCTATCATCAAGCAGCTCCCAACTTTCTCTTCTCAGCAACTATCGCAGACTTGACAATGCAATTATCATGTTCATTACCTTGCTCTAATAGCTGGTATTGAGTTGGCACCAACAGGCAGCTCCAGAACACCGGTGCAAGGAGCGTTTCCCCGCGGCTGCAGAAGGGCAGGCGTGGGCGATTTGATGAGACGCACATTGGTCTGAGTAGTTGTATAGCAGCGCGAGCAGAAGGCGTAATGCGCAGAGTGCTGTGAGTTACAAAAAGGAGGAGCCCCCACCCTGTAATAGTGGTATAATAGGAAGATAAGAGGACCCTAATATAATCCCTATTATCCCTTATTACTGAGTGGGGGGTCCACCTAAAGGATGCCTAAGTTGACTCTGTTGGATGGAGCTTTCCTGAGGGATGGCGAGGGCAATGTGGCCGACACACCAAGCGACCTTCCGGGGGAAAGCAGCAGGACTGGGCTTGATGGAAACAACATCCATGAAGATGCTCATTTGAGCCATAATCTAAACTCCTTAAAGGGGAGTTATATTTGGGATTATATAGGGGACTGCTATAGGGGTTATTAAGGGGGATGCTAGGAGTTTAGACTATAGCTCATTTACGTAGATCCCTAAGGAGCCCCCGGACTCACCATCTAAGAATCCGGTATTCCTTTGTCTAATCGCCCTTGAAATGGTCAGTCCTTCTTGGGGGGTCTGTCACATTTGATTAAGGGATCCCTGGGAATCTGCCCTACTCACAGGAGTCTGGGATCGGAGAATGTTACATTAATCTGGTCGACCTTTAGGCTTGCACTATCAACGCCAAATAGTTTTTCTGACCCAAGGAGGCCAATATCCGATCATTGAGCAACATACGTTGAAGCAGTGGACATGGCTACCATGATATGACGAGTATTACTTGATCAAGGGGTGTTGGGCTCTCCTCCTAGGAGTCGCTCGCACAAATGGAAGCTGCGACCAAAAGAGGCAGAGCCAAGGCAGCCAGTGCAACCTAGGGGATGGGCGACCTCAAGCCCCCAAGACCCCGTTCACAACCCGTAAAGAGCCTCGATGGGCCTGTACTTCAACGTGATGCATGGCAGTCCTGAGTTCGAAGAGCTTGTCGTACAAAATCTAAAGTCTAAAGAGCTGTAGCAGGTCAACGCCAGATCCAGAGCTGGACATCCCAGACTCTTCGTCAAAGCAACGGACACCACGCATCGTGAGGCGCAGTCTTAGATGTTAGTGATCCGCAGAAAGTATGGTAACAAGTAGCGCGTACCAAGCAAGGTTTGATGTGTTATGCTTCCCAGCAATTCAGTATCTGCATCCAAAGGCCAAGAGATCTTGTTGTCAGGAGGAGCGCAGGCCAACATGCCCAAGAAGAACGAGAGCGCAGGTCTTCAAGGTGGGGCCTCATCACTTGGAAGGCTAGTCAACGCTTAATATGAAGCTGTTCATTCTGTGCATCAAGATATTCAGTCTGCCAAGTTGGCAGGAGCTTTTCACCAACAGCGCTTCGCCCACCTCAGGAGCAGTTCGAGAGGTGGGGGG